GTCAAAAATTGCGGATGTGAACAAGTAACGGCTAGAATTTTCATTAAAATGAGGAAGAAATTTGAAAACAAATAGGAGCTTATTTTGAAATACTCATTTCCTGAAAATATTTTTTGTTAATTAAAAATAGAAAAAAGTAAAGTTACAAAATATATTTAGCCCTTGTTTGGGCTCCATCAAAATCAAATTTTTAGAACAAAATGCATTTTGAAATAATGATTTTTGAAAAATGTGGTTAAAAAGGAAGAGAAGTTTTAAATTTATTAGCTTGTTCAACAAGAATAATCACTTGTGTTAAAGATCTTTTAAAATACATTTCTTTTCCAAATTTATTTTGAACAACACAGTTTCTCAATAAAATAATTTTACACGTCAAGCTGTAATTCTTTCTACTTTTTAATCACGTATCCTTAAAAAAAAATCATTTTTTTACCAAATCAATTTTTTAAAAATATAAATCAAACATGCTCAATATAATATTCATACTAGTTTTTTGTACTAAATAAAATTATCTCATAATACTATAATATTCAGCATATTATTTTTATTGAAAGCTTAATCCGTAAAAAAATATTTCCATAATTTTTAAGAACCCAGATGTTTAATGTGTGTTGTATGCGTTCGAAGTCCATCGCACAAAAAAGAATGGTTTCGTTCATTTGTCATTCCTTTCATTAAAAAAAAAAAAAACCTGTTGGGGACCTAAATGCAATAAAAAATATAAATGGGACCCATATGCTACAAGTTGTAATTTATGGGACAGTGAGTGAGAATTTCCCAATTTAATTTGTGCTATCAAAATGTTAGAGAAAATTGCATTATTTGTCTGCGGCTTACCATTAAAGTAGAAAGTTGGCCTTCCATTTTGATATTAGGGTCCGTTCGAAAGGCAAATGTGGAAATGAATTCCAATTCTATGTTAGTTGGAAAATAAAAATTCACCAAACCCATAAATTCATTTTCCATGAAAATAAAAAAAATGTAGCTTAAAGTTGTTGTACTTTAGAATTCAGTTTCCATTTCCACGTTACAATCAAACAGCCAAAATGTAATTCATTTTTCTCAGATGTGACATTTTTCATGAAAAATATGACAATCAAACAGGACCTTATTGTACAATTTTATCGTGAGCTCGTCACCAGATACTTTTCACATCATAATTTTCACATCATAAAGT